AAAAAAAAATGACACGCATCTCTTACAAGCCCCCAAACAAAAAAACATGATGTTTGGACCCCCCCCCCCCCCGCCCAAAGCAGATTCTGGAGGATCTTATTTTTGGAATTTCTTCCTATGTCATCACGGCATGCGGTATTTCTCAAAATTAAGGTCTTATTTTGACACCCTGTCTGGCCTGCCCTCTAGTGAGTCAAAGAAAGGTTTAAGGTTTAGAGGTTAAGGGTTTAGGGTTGTGAGTCAAACAATTCTGCCTTCTCTTCCTCCTCGGCGATGATAGTGACAAACCCTAAACCCCAGACCTAAACAAAGCGGATCGCCATGATGTGTACCATAGCCTAAACTCCCCTTTGGGGGGTTATATAGGGGATTATATAGGGGACTATTAGAGGGGGATATTAAGGGAGATACTAGGAGTTTAGACAGTAGCTCATGTCACAGCTTCTGAGGCTCCGCGGCTTCACCGTGCTCTGAATTTGAACCGCTTGAAGGAACTTGCTGAGCTACAGGCGAAGCGGGAAGCTTCAGCAACCAAAGAACCCTAAACCCTAAACCCTAAACCCCTAAACCCTCAACCCAGGGGGGTTGAGGGTTTTGGGTTTAGGGTTTTAAGCCATGCAGTAGGATTGCTCTGGATTGCATAGTGCTGGCAAAACTGCCTCATGTGGGGGTCTCTTATTGGTAGGAAGCTTAGGGCTCGGACTTGTGCGGGGCCTGCATCTTTATAAGGGTTGTGAAAAATTCGACTACATGTTTTGTTGAACAAAGGATTGTGGCTTTCACAACATGTAAACCACACTCACTAGTCGGACTTTCAAAAGCAACCTAGTAGTTTTGCTTAGATGGGGCTTCCCGGGTCCTATTCGGGGCTACCATCAAGTATTATTTGGGGTCAGTTTGGGGACCACTACAGGCCAGACCCAAAACAAAAAGACTCCAGGAACACCCAGATCCCACTATGGGCTATTAGACCTTAAGGGTACCTTCATCTACCCTTTAAAGGGTCCTGATAGGGAATTTTAGGGTCTAATAGCCCATAGTGATCTGCTACAGTCATTGAGTTAAGTAGCTTCGAAGGAGTGCGATAGGCGAACCTTCAAGCTGAGGGGTCAAGCTTCAGGCTATGGGTTTCAGGTATTACTCTTAGTATTATTACTATTATTACTCTTACTATTGCTATTATTTTTATTCTGACTATTACTATTATTTATTCTTGGGTTTAGGGTCCAAATTCTAGGGTTAGCATTTTCTGTCAGCTTTAGCAGCCTCAGGACCATTGGTAGAAACCATCGTGCCCTCTATTGAGTTCTACGAAGTATCTCTATTGAACATTAAAGGAATCCTTGGGGCCCGCCCACGAGGGCTTTGCAAGATCACGGTACTTGTTATCTTTTTTGGGGGGGGGTAAGCTCTGAATACCCTAAACCCTAAGCCCTAAACACCTGAACCCAGTTTAGGATGTAACTACGGAAAAATGGACCACAAAGTGTGTGACAACCCCCCGCAACTGCGTGACACGATGGAAGTGGTCTTGCAACAAATGATGATGAGAACTTACCCTAAGGGTCCATGTACTTAGGTCCCCTTTAAATGGGGATATATAGGGCTATATAGGGTTTAGGGTTTAGGATTTAGGGTTTAGGGTTTAGGGTCCATGTACCCAATACTTGGGTACTTGGGATTTGGGTAATAGGAATTATAGTATTGGTTTTGGATAAGTATATGATTATTAGGTACTTGGACCCTCAGGGTTACTTCGATGCGTAGCCTTTATCACCTACCTCTTCAACCAGTGTGAAGACCGCACCCACTTATGATAGCAGATATTCACTGACTTGGTTTCTGACGACGGCCAGTTGGGAAATTCACCCTTGTTGATGAACCCCAACACAGTTTATCTTTTCCCACGCGCCGAAATGAGAAAACTCCTTAAACCCCAGACTCTACATTCCAAACCTCAAACCCAAAAGCTAAACCCCAAACCCTAAACCCTGCAACCTAAACCCTAAACCGTATAGCCCCAATCATCCTTTCAGACGACACCACTGCATGTGCTCAATCTCTCTATAACTGTCTAAGGCTTGCCTGGACGCAAGAGTATGTAGAATGATGGCCTTTCGACTGTTTCTCATGGGTCTTGGATCCTCATTTTACCTACCTTTGGGGTCTTGGTAGGATTTAGGTTCAGGGTTTGGGGTTTAGGGTCTTTCTACATGGGAATGATATGCGGCACCCTCAGCCAATCTAAATCTGATAAAGGGGGACCCGCAGCCCTGGCATGCTACATGTTCTCCTCAGACATTTCATCATAAGGAGATCATTTGGTAATTTCCCCAAATTGGGGGGACGCCATTATAAATAGTATACTATACGTAATCCTCATTATAGGGACCCCTACAATGGTACCCTGATTTTCGGAATCCCCCATGTAGTACTAGGGGGATGGCGGCTTTTAATTATAATGGTGAGGGAGTCCACCAGCCACCCTGAATCTTGAATCTTACACCCGAATCAACCCTAAACCGTAACGAATCAGCATAAGCCCTCATCGACCCTAAACCCCCAACCCCAGACCCTCAAGCCTAAACCCTCAACCCTAAACCCTATAGTCACCCTTCAGTAGATAGAATATGGGGTACATGGGGATCTTGTTATACTTTACCCAAAACCCTAAACCCTGAACCCTAAACCCTGAACCCTAAACCCAAACCCTGAAACCCTAAACAACCATATTCTATCTACTCAGGGCGGACTATGAAACCATAAACCCCCAACCAAACCTAAGCCCTAGACCCCTATCAATCCCCCACCCGCAAACCCTGAACACTAAACCCTATGTATCCCTATATATCCCTATATATCTCTATATATCCCCTATATCTCCCCAATATATCCCCCTTTTTTACGGTACCCCTTTGGGAAACCCCGAGACCCTCCCCCCGAACCCTGAACTAAAGCCGGCCTTTGTGCGACTGTGCCTTGAACCTGGCGTTTGCTGTAGCGCAGTTCCCCTCAACAACTCCGTCTAGGGTTTAGGGTTTAGCATTTAGGGTTTAGGGTTTAGGATTTAGGGTTCAGGGTTTAGGATTTAGGGTTTATAGTCTGGAGGCTCTCTTGACTGTAGGTCTGCTGAGTCACAAGAGTTCTGGGGATAGCGAATAGGCGTACTTCGTCAACAGAACCTCGAAGCCTAGTATTGCCCCATGGCGTCCCTTAGATCGGGCAGGGGTAACGTGTAAACCCTATAAGCCAAGGAGACCCTAGGGAGTTTTAGCGACCTGCATATACCAGGCACCCTGAAGGAATAGGTTACGTGGACGTAATAGTGACATAGGAGGAATATAAGAGGACCCTAATACAACCACCATTATGCCTTATAGTCACTCTTACTGGGTGGGGGGGTCCACCTAAGCTTTTGGGTTTATGGTGATTCTAAAAAAAGTCACGCTCGCGGCCCAAAAGCATGAATCCCTGGGATGGCCCCTAAAACCCTTTGAAAAAATATTAGTCTATAGGGTCCCTTATTAAAGCCATTAGGGAAAATATTAAATATCCCAGGGGCTACCCAGACTCCTAAACCCTAAACCCTGAACCCTAAACCCTAAACCCTGAACCCTAAACCCTAAACCCTAAACCTTAAACTATATCCCAGGGGCCTACCCAGATCCATGTCTATGGGGTCTACAAAGGCAAAGCCGAGCTCTATTCAGGCTCTGTTCTGAAAATGGAAACTATTGGGGATTATATGGGCTCATATTGGGGTTATATAGGGATTATATAGGGTTCATATTGGGGATATATAGGGATTATATAGGGATTATATAGGGTTTATATTGGGGTTATATAGGGATTATATAAGGTTTATATTGGGGTTATATAGGGATTATATAGGGTTTATATAGGGATTATATTGGGATTGTGTTGGGGTTATATCGGGATTATACAGGGTTTATATTGGGTTTATATTGGGGTTATATAGGGTTTATATTGGGTTTATATCTGAGGACAACCCCATTACTTTATTCATGAGCGCAGCGCAGCTCCTGAACTTGGCACATGTCTAAACGCTAGTCTGAGATGTGTGTGGGAGCGGAGGGGGGGGAGACAATCAATAACAGGCTGCGTTTGCAACGCCTTCAGAAGGACCGACATGTACCACGGGCGGCAGGCGGAGGGTGCTTGATATTCGGGGTAGACGGTAACTGGGGCCCAGACAAGCTTCCCGCTCTGGCGTCAAGATTAGGAGGAAGATTTCCCCAAGAAACGTTGCCACTAACCGTTGCGCACTGATGTGAGACACCCCCTACCCCTTACATGAAAATGCTTCCCATGAAGTCGAATCCCGACTAATGTTGGGTTCTGAATTGTGTGAAGTTTGGGCGAAAGCCTTCAGCCCCCTCCGATTTGTTTGGGGCTGCTGATGTGTGCGAAGTTGCGCGGAAAGGCCTATGACTTTTTTATTGCAGTTGTAAACCCCAAACCAGGATCCAACATTAAGAGACCTTAGTTAGATATTGGGGGACATATTTCGTATTCAGGGTGCGGGGGGGTTGCTTAGTGCTAGTATGAAGGGAATACTGGCATGGAAAGGGCTCAGCGATTTCAGGGCATAGGGATGTTGCAGTTGGGATTGCTGACATGGAAAGGCCTCAGCGATCTTAGAGCAAATGGGTGCTGCTGTTCCGAGATTGGACTCAACAACGAGATCAAAAGAACTGATCGCACGAAAGACCTCGCAGCCCCGCAGCCTGCAAAAGGCCTGGATATCCTGGCTGTGTAAAGGTTTTGCAGTAAAAACCTTCAACCCATAATGCTCAACCCAAGAACCTTCAACCCTAAGCCCTTAAACCCCTTTAAAGGGATCCCTAATATACCATAGTAGTTTCCATTTCTTTTCCATTATCCCAATATAACCCCAATATAACCCCAATATATCCCCTATATAATCCCTATATAAACCCATTCTAAACCCTAACCCCTAAACCCTATATACCCCTATATAGACCCCTATAAAACCCTGTAAAGGGTTCCATGGTAACTCAAAATCTTCAAAGCCTGAGCCGCAGCCTTCTCATCACTAACTTCTTCTGCTCCGACGTGAGGCGCTCGAAAATACCCTCGACCTCACAGGCACCCCTAAACCCCAAATCCTAATCAATAAACCCTAATCCCTCAACCCTAAACCCTCAACCCCAATCAGATACTGAGGGTTTTTTGCTGGGGGTTAATCCGCTCCCCCTGATATGAAACCCACCCCACCACCCCTAATGTTAAAATATTCCCAGCATAATATGATATACCATAACTGGAATATTTGATATTGGGAGGGGTGGGGGGCTTTGACTAATATCAGCGGACGGGATTATAGGGGATGCGCAGAGCTTGGGTTAGGGCATGACAGAGTTTAGGGCTTGCAGGGTTTAGGGTTTAGGCGGGGGGGTTGGGTTTAGGGTTTGTTGAATCTGGCTCAATGGGGAGCTTATTCGAATGCAATGGGATGTTTGAGAAAGTCATGCTTGGGAGGACGAGGACGTCAGGGCTTCTAGTACATTATTTCTGGGGAGTCATGAAGATGGTGCCTCCACAAACTTCTAAAGAGTTTTCGTTTCTCGTTGTATTAGCTTCATGCCCTAAACCCTAAACCCTAGACTCCTGACTTTTGCATCAAAACTCTACTTAGGATAGATTCCAGGAACCCCCGGCCGGGCCAATCCTAAGAAGGACTGGTTCAAAGCGGGTCTCTTAGAGGGTTTAGGGCTTGGGGTTTAGGAATTTAGGGTTTAGGAGTCCGCCGACCTTGGGGGGCGTGTTGGATGGTTGCCGAAGGCGGAGAGGGTGAAAACCCTCTTCCTTTCTCCCTTACAGCCCCAAAACGCGGGGGGGGGGGGGGGGGGGGGGGGG